GGGGAACAGGCTCCTGGCTCACATCACAGCGGGCGGACAGACAGATGCACCTTGTGCTGCTGGTGGCAGCATCTCCTGCGGGCGGGCGGGGCTGGGAGCCCTGGCAGAAGCGCGGGCGGGTGGAGTCGTTTGTGCCGGATGCTGGGGTGGCAGCGGATGCACCGCTGGCCGCTATTGCTAGGGACGCTCGTTCACATGTTCCGAGGGGCGAGGTGCCAGGTGACCCTGCAATTACACGTGTGTCCAGGTTCTTGAATAAAGGAAACTGTTCACTGACTGTTTGTGTTGATCCAGGGAACGGAGGAGACGCCCTGGGCTGGGTGGTCGTTCCACGGTGCAGTGTCGGGGGCATCACGTGGTTTTAAGCTGCCCTGTGTGACGGTCTCCAGCACGAGCCCCACTGTGAGGCGAGGGGACGCGTTGCCCGTTTTAAATGAAGTGTCACCTCGGGCCTGTGGGAGGACACGGCGACGGACTGCCCGTGTCTGTACCAGTTGGGAGGGGGCGGGGACAGTGTCGTGGCCCTCGCCACAGGTGACACCAGACAAGCTTGGTGGACTCACTCAGGAAGTGGGTCATGGGAGAGGCGTCTCCCGGGCTTCAGATGAGCCTGTGACCGCTGCCCCTTCAGCCCTGTGTCCCCTCCAGGGAGCTTTGCGGGTCCAGAGGGGCAAGTCGGCCGCCAGGCTGCTCACGGGTTCCGGGTGGCCAGGGCACTGCAGTGTCCGCACCTGAGGGACTGACCCTCAGGCCGGGTCCTTCCAGACTTCAGGCACCAAAGCATCGACAGGGCTGCCCAGGAAGGTTCTCACCTCCTGTACAGCCCGGGACGGGCAGCTGGGGGTCCTGCTCAAAGCCTGTCCCCTCCTGCCCAGTCCTGTGCCACTTCCCGGCCTGACACGGGGTGGGGACCCTGCTGTGTTGGGAACCTGGCCGGGCGAGCAGCCTTCCTCTGACCCCAGTGGTGTCTGAGAGGGTCTCACCGTAGTGACCCAGCCGAGCTGCTTGGGGTGGAGGGTCTTTCACCGGGAGCACCCGCAGCTGCACACACTTCCCTGGGCACGTCAGGCAGGCCCACTTGTCCTTGTGCTGGCCTGGCTTCTCTGCTCTCAGGGGGCACCTCCAGCATCCTGGTGTCACCAGGGGTCCCCATGTCGCTGGGGTTACGTTCTCACCCTAAACATAACGGACACACGAGAGGTCACTTCCAAATAGAGTAACTTCAGGCACTCAGCGCACCTTTTTCTGGGTTTTTTCATACCTCCAGGCCAGTGGTCGGCAAACTCATCAGTCACCAGAGCCAAACATCCACCGCACTTCAAAATAGACTCGCCCAGGCCGAAAGCCGACTTGTGCGCCTGGGCCGCGAAGTGTCACTCCCAGTGTACGCGCGCCCACACGTGGTATTTTGTGGAAGAGCCACACTCAAGGGGCCAAAGAGCTGCATGTGGCTCGCGAGCCGCAGTTTGCCGACCACGGCTCCAGGCTGTGATTTGGCTGTTTTCTTAAACTTGCAAAATCACCATTTCCAACACAGTCCACTGAGGGAAGTCCACAGCTAGGCCGGCCAGTGGCTCTGGCTGCGCGTCCACCCGCGAACCAGGAGGCCAGGGTCAGAGTCCCAGTCGGGACACATGCCCGGGCTGTGGGCTTGATCAATGGGGAGATCAATGATTTTGACGTTTCTGTCTCCCTCTCGGAAATCAATAAACATATTAACACTAAAAAATCCACATCTCAGTGGCCCCACACATTAAGGCAGTGGCTCTCAACCTTCTGGCCCTTTAAATACAGTTCCTCATGCTGTGACCCAACCATACATTTTCGTTGCTGTTTCATAACTGTCGTGTTGCTACTGTTATGAATCGTCATGTAAATATCTGATATTCAGGACGGTCTTAGGCGACCCCTGTGAAAGGGTCGTTCGACCGCCAAAGGGGTCACGACCCACAGGTTGAGAACCGCTGCTTTAAGGCGAGTGGAGCCTCTAACTGCCCAGAGCGCAGTCCTACACGTGGACTCCACCCCAACGGGGATCCGCGGGCAATCGTTACACTGGAGTCTGAGGATGAGGCGGGAGGGTGAGTGCTAGCAACACGGGTGTTAGTTGGGCCCGGGCCCCATCCAGGTCGGGGCTGGACCTCGGCACCTCAGGAACCAACCAGGAAGGTCCGCCTCCAGCATCCTGTCACCCCCTCATCCCAGATACTACCCAGGGCTGGCTCTAGGAGTGGGCCAGGCAGACTCCACCCCCAGGCCTCCGGTAGCCTTGACCCTGAACTGGAGTGCTCTGTGCAGGAGGCCAGGGCAGGCCCAGGCAGCCAGGGGTTGTCCGGGCGGCAGGGGGCCTGGTCCACGGCACAGTGAGGGAAACAGCACTCACAGAAAAGCTATTTATTTACATCCGGTGATCTTGAAAGTAACAAAACCCAACTCGGCCTGGGCGGGTCGCCTTGGCCAGCCCTTGGTGGGTTCCAGGTCCTCCTTCCTGCCTCCCCTTCCAGCCCCTCGTTCCTGCTCAACAGTCCTTCCATCTGGGCTGCTGGACCCTGGGGAAGGGCGGGACGGTGAGGGGCCCCTGGTCA